AAAAAAAAAAAAAAAGATGCAATATGTGATCATAACCACAAGAAAATACAAGAACATTTTAATTTATAGCCCTCCTAAAATTAGTAGCACAGCGAAAATTATCATATGAGACAGCATAACGGTTAGATAAATAAATAAATCGATTTGTTATATTATTTTTTAAGTAAAAATTGCATACTATTAATTATATTAAGGAATGTCATGCTTTTATTTATTATATTTGTCTAAAAGAAACATCGTCACTCAACCATCATCTTCCCAACAGTAGCCTTACTTGTAATACTCAAAATTTGGATCATTTTTGTTGGGACCGACAACTCAAAATTCAATTCTCTATTAAGTCCAACATACAGGCTCAAATGTGGTTCCATTCTAAAACTAATTGACAATAGAAGAAGTAGTTCATCAAACTTATATTTTGGAGTTGAAATATTTAGTTTTTCCGATGTAGGATTGAGTTTGTACACCCAACACTTTTTAAACTCGAAATCAAGATCTAAATGCTCGTTCATGTTCAACAAGTGTAAAATGCGTACAAACAATCAAGAAACTGCACGACATTTTTTCTCATAATCCGACATTTAAGTTTGTAAGTAGCCTTATTAACGGTACCCAAAATCTCGATCCTTTTTAAACTCAGAAATCAAAATCTAAATACTCGTTCATGTTAAGTAAGTACTAAACGCATAAATATAATCAACAAACTGCTCGACTTCGACTCGTCATCGTCGACTCGAATACGACTAGTTTTCACAGCTCAATTTCAAAGATGATTCGAAAACTTGCCCAAAACAAGCTTCAAACTACAGTAACAATGATGTGCTTTGACTTGGATTTATCTACACTCACACTACGTAACAGCTGCAGACAAGCATACAAAAATATAATAAATCCAATATTCAACCAACTTGCTTTGTTTCTCCACAGCCAAAAGAAAATGCAGTGATCTTCGATCGAGATTGTAAGTAATTGTAACGCGCTTTCAGTATGAAGCCAAAGGGCGTTGACTACAAAATCCATATTAATATACACATATCATATCCAAATTGCCATTTATTCAACTAAAAAAATAAAAAATAAAAAGAATAATATACTAATTTATTTTTTCTCTTTTTTTT